TTTCTTAACTAAGACCACTGAAGATGCAAAGGAGCTTGTGTTGTCTTTGATAATGCTAGAAGTCTTTCATGTCAGTTACCAACTCCTCTATCCTAGTTTTTTGAATTGCTGGATACCGATATGGTCAGATTCTGATAGCAATAGATTCATCCTTTAAAGGAATCCTGTGGTCATGAGACCTTCTTAGTGGCAACCCCCTTGGGACTTCAAATACTACAAATCTGTATAGCATCCTTTGTAACTCATCTGGTAAGACAGAATTATCCTGTTTCTCATGGATATCTGTCTATTTGCACTGATTCCACCCCAATTAGCAACGATAAACATGTACTACCATTGGCTAAATTCATCTTAGCCAATTGCTTCCTTGTAGCCATCTCCATTTTGCCAGCAACTATCCCCTGCAAGGTGAACCAGCTTACCACCACCTCAAATTGCATGATCAGATTGGTAAAATCTCATATAATAGGACTCCATGTTCAAAGCCATTGTACCCCTAATACCATATCACGACCCGTTAAGGGTAATATTAGGAACTCTGTACATTGCAGTAACACCTAATCCTGCCACACAACCTTCTGACATAATTGTCGAGCCACCAATTGGTCTCCATTAGCTACATCACATGTATCCCCTACACCATTGAAGTTTACACCCCAATCTTTTAGCAACAAATAAATCCAAGAAGTTACGGGTATTGCCAGAGTCCAACAAAATCACGAATAGTTGGTTTTTTATTTTTTCTTGGATTCTCATGGTTTGGGGGCATGTTATACCTGTCAGAGCATGTAAGGAGATTGTGGGTCTATTTGCTATCTCAGTTATCTCGGTATTAGGTTTTTCCAAAGATTCTAAACAGTCAGAAAGCTCCTCATACTCATTGGTTGAGTCCATTCCTTCATCAACTAGCAGTTGATACAACTGGGATCTCATACACCTATGGCCAGCAACAAACTTCACTCCACACCACATACAAAAGCTATTTTTCCTCTTATCATCCCTTTCCTTCTTGGTCTGCAATTTACTGCTAAGTTATGGTTAAGTCTGGTTTGCTGTTTGGGGGTTTATAAGTGTTAATAGGAGTAGCTTACTTGGCTGTCTGGTTATAATTTGTGAATGATGTCTTGGAAGTGGATAGTAAAGGTGAGTTATGTGATTTTGAGTGAACTAGAGTGTTAGATTGTATAGGTAGCTGACAGAGGTTTCTTATAGAGTGTAGAAGGTTTTCTTGGTAGTTTAAAAATAAGGGATTCCATTTACTTAGCCAAATTATAAGTATGAGTAAGGTTTTAGCCAAATTATAAGCATGAGTATGGTTTTCTGGGTAAAACATACGAACTGGCTTAGATATATCTGGATTCAAGTTGCTAAGGAAAATACTAAGAGCATGTTCATCAGAGATTGGTATCATGTTTACCATAATGTGTAAATCCGTAAAGTTATTGTTAGATCTGATTTTGGAAGTCACCATCAATTTTTTTTATTTAGGTACAATTGGTCACTTAACTAAATTTGTCTCATTTTAAAGAGAAGTCTTAAACTTGACTTAATATTTAAAAGGTAGATTCATGTCTATGAACCCAAGACTAAATTCAAGATTACGGTTATGTGTAAGAAAAACTATAGGATCCTTATAATGGTACTAGTTTGATTTGTGTATCCAAACCCTAAAATATCTTCCCAAGTAATTAATTATTAAAAATTATTCTTAAAATTACTCAAATATGTTGGTAATAATTTAAAAATATTTTCTTACCTCAAAAATATTCAAGGAGACTATTTATTACGTTTTGAGGAGGTTTCATCATCGAATTCATTTAATTTTCTAAAAAACCTTTATTTGTTATAAGTGAAATTTTTGAAAAAATTTTGATATTGAAAATATTTTTTAAATTCTTCAATATGTTGGTAAAATTTTTTAAAAAAATTTCACCTAGAATTTACATAGAGATTGTTATTTACAAAGTTTTTAGTCATTTCATCATCGGAGATTTAAAATCTAACTTTCATGAAACACCTTATTTTCAAAAATATCTTCTAATATGTTGAAAAAATTTTCTATCAAAAATTATCGTCTAATATGTTGGTAGGAATGAAAATTGTTTAATTTTTATTTAAAATCATAAGGTTCTCCAATCTGTTGATGAAATCTTATCTATCCAAAAGTCAAATTATCTTTCAATATGTTGGGAAGGCTTCATTGAAAACTATTTTCCTTTCAAATTTGTTTTTTTTTTTTTTTAAATTAATAAGATTCTCTAATATGTTGATAAAATCTTATTTTAAAAATCAAATTACCTTACAAGGTAAGGCCTTTTGTTTTATTAATACAATTTATTAAAAATTTGAATCTTTTCAATATGTTAATAAGATTTTTTTTATTTAAACATTTATTTTAAGAAAATTTGAACATTCTAATATGTTGGTAAGGTTTTTTTTTGTTTTATTAAAAAAATATTTTTCTTATTTTTTCCTTTTAAAAAAATTTTACAAATAAATGAATACATAAATAGTAAAATAAATAAATAAATAGACAATTATGATAAAATTCAAAGATAGTTAAAATTTAAGAAAAAAATAAGTAAAAAGTAAATATCAAAGATTGAGCCACAATTAATTCCACCAAAGCATGTAAGCTTTTGAAATTGTGTTTGCCCACTTTAATTTCCTGGTTGTTGGAACCAGTTACGATTTAAGCTTCTTATTGAATTCAATCCTCAAACTGAGTCGTCCCTTTTTACTTTTATGCTTATTCATCCTTTTCTCTTCTTGCTTATTTCTCTACAAAATAGCCTATATTTTGCTAACACTTTTTACCTGTGGTGATTGTCTTTCTTTTTGGTTTAAACAAATATCAACCAAAAACTTAAAATATATATATCCAAAATCCTCGAAAATTTTACTGTCAAAACATTTTGTTGAATGCGTCTCTGTTATATTTCTTTTCAACTCCTTTCCGCAATACAAAACTAAAAAAAAAAAAAAATCTTAATTATTTAAATCTAAAACATAAAAAAAGATTATAAAATTTTTTTAATTTTTTTGATATTTTTTTACTACTTCTCTCTCGATTTTTCTAATTGATTCTTGATTGTTTTTAATTAATCTTAATGGAGTCTGTTTATAGGCTTCTAATTCCAATTATAATAAGAAAATGAGTTTTTATTTTTTTGTTTGAATCTCCTAATCAACTTTAACCTCAATTTTTTAATCCAAATTTATCTTTCAAAACAATTCCCTTTTATAGTATTTGTTCAATTAAAACACTTTTAATTCAACAACCTCTTAAAATTAAAATCTCTTCAAGTTTCAACAAAAAAATTATTTTTTTAAAAAATAATAATAATAACTCTAAACTAAATACAATATCAAAAATAAATAAAAAAATTCAAAGTATAATCTTAAAATATAAATTGATCCCAAATTAGAGTGTCCACAATGTTCAATAATCTCTCAAATTCATCATAATATTCCTCAATTGTGTTGTTCTGCTTAAGACTGACTAATTCAAACATGGGGTCAATAAATTCATTTTCATCAAATCTGGACCTCATTTCCACCACATATTGATTCCAAGAGATTTCAGTGAGTTTACCTCTGTTTTTTTATAAAGCGTTGGTGCCATTGAAGAGCTTTCCCATCCAATGCATCATCACCAATAGGACTCTATCTTGCTTTTTGGTCTGATCAGCCTCAAAAAATTGATCTATCTTGAGAAGCCATCCCCTGCAATCGACTCCATCAAACCTGGGACATTCAATCTTTGAATATTTCGTTTGTGTCCCTAATGACCCAGAGAACTCGACTTATGGCCTCAATTGCTTGAACCCGTTAACATCTAGGACTGCCTTTTGTTTGGCCATAGCAGAATCTGCCTTGTCTCCCTCATTAGTATCTGTCGTCTTTGACGATCCATCCAACCGAGATGACCATTGCTCAAACATCTTCTTCAACTCAAATCCTATTTTATCCAGACCAACCTGCGATCCTATTTCCAACTCTTCCCGTAGCTAAGCAGCTGTGGTACTCAACTTAATATCCAACTTTTCTACCTCCTTCTGCCATTGCCACTGTCCATGCTCCTTTCGCAACCTTGTTGTAACGCCTTCTGCCATAATCGACGGCTCTGATACCATATTGATACAAGCAGAAATGATAAGAGAGATAAAACAAAGGAAGTTGAGAGAAGAATGTAAAAGAGAGGAGAGAGAATACAGTGTCTATATTCTGGTTTGCAATAAAATAACCATTCTGCTCCTTAAATCACACCAACAAATGATGACTCACCTCCAACTAATCTTCCGTGACCATTTCTGCAATTAAGCTAATATCGACACTAACTGTAATTAGCAAACATTTGAAATTAACATAATGCTATTGGACTGGACTAGCTACTGACTCAAGCAAACTAATGGCCCATTCTCATGACACACACATTGGCCTGTAACAGAATACTGAAGCTAAAAAACAGTCTGCAAAGTATAGGGAGCTTTCTCCACAGAAGTTTGAGGTGGAAGGGTATTTGAGGACGTCTTTATCAAGAATGAAATTGTTTGGAACCAATAAGGAGAATTGAGATTTTGGTGGTTTTGAAAATTTTCTGGCATTCAGGTGGTATACAATTCTTGGGGTTAATCCTTTGGCTTTGACTAAATTTTGTTGATTAGTCTTTTATTGGGCCATGAAAACGTTATTGAAAATGGTATAAGTGATGTTGAAACTCTGATGTAAATTTCAGAGGATACTTAGAGAAATAAGGAGATGGGAGTTTTTTCTGTTTAAAGGAATTAGTTGTTTAATGACAGTTTTTGGCTTCAATAATATGCTCAACTTGATGGGTTTACTTACCATTTACTTCATGTTTTTTTCTCTTTTAGTTGGATCAGTTTATGAGCATGGTTGCATTTATGTTTAGGATGATGTTATAAATGATGCATGTGAACGCAAGGGGCATTGTATGTTATCTATTCAATATAAACCGCATTATGAAGGCTTCTTGCTTTTGATTAGCAATAGAATCGATAATATATCGAGATTTTCAGAGTTAGAGGTAGCAGTACCACTCACATTGGGCACTTTTCTTCAAACCCAGTTCAGACCATAGATCCCACCATAAGTTGACACAATAAAGTAGATAGAGTGGGTCATAAAATAAGAATAGATGTGCTTTCAAGTCATAGCACAAGTTCTAGTATAACTTAAAAAAAAAAAAAAAGATCTATGCTACAAGCAAAGTAATATGCAACCAATGTGAATATATATGGGTAATACACCCTCTAGAATTTTAGGAATGCTTATCTACTTGCGTTTGCGGCCACGACTCCTGTTGTTTTTCTTAGATTTAATGTTCCCTTGGGGTTTGCAATTGACAGTAGATTTTGAAGCTGGATTCTTAACCTTACTACATTCCTCAGCCTTACTGCTACTCTCTTCCATATCACATTGGCTGCCAAATTCATCAGATATATGATCTTCATCTTGCTGCAAGAATAGCTGCTGCAGAAAAGGCTCCAGTATAGACCTTCTTGAATGCAACTCGTCGCAAAGGGCTCCAATTATAGGAATGCTACTTTCAAGTTTCAGCTCACTGAAAAAAAATGCAGAAGCAGAAGGAAATTCTTAGGAAATATGGTGCACTAATACTGTGGTGTAAAAATGGAGTCTTTCAACTACATATGGGGAAGGCGATGTATGAAACTGACTTTGGTTCCAGTTGAGCTTGGAGTTGCTTCATTTCCTCAAGCACGTTCATTGCTTCCCTTGAAAAGTTGTCTTCATTACCTGCAGGTTGCTTCTCCAAACATCCTTTTGTTGCAGCATTGAGGAAGGAAACACATTTATCCAGGTACACCTAAAAAGAAAAGCAAACAGTGATGATAAGATCACACAAAAAATAACAGTGACATTTGAAAATGTTCATCTAATCACATGCATGTAACGATTACCCTCATTTTTGAAGCATATGACCTGATGGTCCATTGATCTTTGATGCCACCCACTGCCTTCAAGGCCTCGACAATTTCCCAAAAATGAACATCGTTAATCAGTATTTCACCATCATCTTGATTCTGAGCATTCAAGTGTTGATCTGACAGAGAACCAGAGCTTGAAGTGGGAACAATCTTTAAGCTCTTCCCTTCATCATAACTGGCTGGAGGAAGAACTTCACCACAAAAATCAGCAGTTCCATATTCAGAACTTCCAGTTTTAGGGAACAAGACTCTCAATATTTCCTCCTTGCAGGGTTTGACCTTCATATCAACAAATATAGCATCCTGGCATACAAATTTAGGACAGTTTACCCCCATGCTCACAATTATGAGAGGGTTTCCAATTATTTTAAATGCATGAGCAAGCACATTTTTGTCGATATTCAGACAATTATGACTCCGCCTTCTCCGAAGGGCATCATAAAAATCCTGGGGCAGTAGGTCTGTAATATGCTTTCGACCCAGCAAGTCAAAAAGTAAATCAAGACACTTGTCAAAGTTCAAATGAAGCAAACATATAATGACAACCAATCTCAAAACCATTAGTGAATGGTAATCCCTCACATTTATACGAGACTTTTTGATCCAATCAATGGTCTCTCCCTTGGCATAGAGGAGCTGCCGGACCATGTCAATTACAAATTTCAGAATGTCTTCCAAAGATTGCTGCTTAACTGCCATAAAACTGGAAGTTGAGCTGGGTACCCCATCCTGGTAGATAAGCCATTCCACAAAAGTAGTCTTTGTGGTGTAAAAGTATCCCTTGAAGTAGGATAACAAAAGTAGATACCGCTCAACAAGATACAAGAAACAAACTGGTGACACATAATCAGATATCTTCCTCCAGTTAGCTTTATAAGTATCTTTTAAAGCTTCAAGGAACTTCAATATAATTGGCTTATTCCCAATTTCTTCGATATATCCAGCAGCAGATCCAGTTGTAGATTCTGAGCTTCCATTCCCCTCATTGATACGGCCAGTTGTAGAAACTGGAGGAGAAACTCTATCCTCTTCAAGACTCCCAATGAAGTCCCTCCATGCTTCATTCCATTCTAAAGCATCAAGTATCTTTCTATACAGTTCAATATTAAGCTGACAAGATCCAAGAATTATCAAAGCCACCTTTCCAGTTTCCCCATAAGACAACCTACTATTGTTTGTCCTGATCTTTTCAAACATAACTTCTTCAAGTAAATTCCTTGAAATTTCAGTTCCCCTCAGAGAGATCATGTTCTCTCTCAAGGATTCTCGCCAATCAAGGGGAAATATGTAGCCAAAAACATCAATTGTTGACAGCTGAACAAATTTCATCAGATCCTTGTCCACATGCTGGTTCTTCAGAAACTTGGACTTCAACAGAAAACTGGCAACCTCATAGATAAGAATAAGAGATCTGCTTCGACAGAAGGCTGACAAAGAATTTCCGCATGAGGAAATATAGAATGCCTCAAGCTTTGTCAGAACTTGCTGGCCAATAGAGAGTAATTCTGAACGCCAATAACTCCTTGCAGCAGAGACAAATTGACAGAGAGAAATAGAAACCTGCCTCTGGTTACCACAAACATGTTTGTTTTCCAGTTTTCTCATCCATTCAGCATCAGAATTCACCAGAAAATAGACAATACTCTGATTCTTAAACTGTCTCCACACACCAAAATAATTCAAGCAGAATTCTTCATATTTTCTATAATCACTGTTATCTTTGATTTCAGCATGATCAAGATACTCAAATATCTCCATGATTTTATCCTTCCAGAAATTCCAAAAGTAGACCAGTGTCTCAGTGGAAACCTGGTTGTTAGAAATTTGCTCTTCAGAATAGCTTGCTAGATCAAAAACCAATTCATCTATCCCTTCATATTTTGAGATATTTAAACGAAGGTGATGATCTAGAATCATTCGAGCAGTTAATATTTCACCTCGGATACTCTTGTGCCTCTGAGAAGCGGTTAAATATTGTTTCATCAAGAATAAGTTGCTTGGCTTATTCAGTAAAATGTCAGCCTCTGAACAAACAAGCCCATAAAACTGGTTTGACAACTTCTTTGCAAATGACTTGGCTTTTGTTAGAAGCTTCTCTTTCTCTGTAAACTGCTTCAATGGCCATCCCGTGCTCCCAGTTAACCATAGAGAGTTAGCAAACACAAACCAGAGGATAATGCGCGTGGCCTCCTCAAATTGTGCACCCTTCCCAAGCAAATCAGCCCCAAGTAGAAGTTCACCTCTCAACTTTGCAATGTTTGCTGCTTCCAAGAAGTTCCCTAATTCTTCTTCAAGAAGGAGAAGCTCATCAAGACTCTCTAAGGACTGCAAGAATTTTCGTTTTGAACTCATGGAATCAAAAGCTCGGACATAATTCATCATTGTTCTCTTATCATTAGCCTCATGGTAATGATGTGCACAGCTCTCCAAAAACTTTTGCTTAAGTTCCTCCATATCCTTACTTCTTTTGACCATTTCTTCATCTGCATTTGCAAGTCGTTTCCAGTACTGAATGTAATGCAAGCCCATGTCAAAGAGTTTTCCTTTTGAACAAACAGACAAGCATTTTGAGAAATAGTTGCCTCTTGCATACACTTCTGCTGCAGTCTTGTAACATCCAGCAAGAAGAAAACATTCTGCAGCTCTCTCTAGAGCAGATTCCCCACATTTTTCCAAATATATTTTACCTGCAGTTTCAAAACTACTTTCTGAATTTCCAGGAATCGTGGTACAGTCATATGCACACATGCACGCTCACAAAATAAAAACTCATTAATAATCCTAGACTAAAGCAGGAAATATTTGTATTAGAAAAAGAAAATTATTTGTTCAGTTACTAATGATCACACATTAAAGCATGCAAATAAGTTGACCAATACCCAGCTCGGAAAGACAAGGATGCTCCAATAAATAAAGTGGAGAATGTTATATTTCGAAATATAATGCATTTGATAAACAAAAATATTAAGCTCATTTGGATCTAATCTAAAAAGCTGCAATCAAAGAATCTTTTTCTCTCTCTCTCACTCTGTAGGAAGACACTATTCAACACAGCAGAAGAAAAGAAATGTCTTCTGGAAACAAATATAGGAATCATAGAAAGTCTGAGCAGTAGATTTTAGCACTTAAAGTTCATGTTTATCAAGAAATTAACATAAACAAGGTGTAAAGAGGGAAAATGGAATTGTACCAGCTTTTTCATACTCCGTTAACATGTAAAAACAATCTGCTGCATGCTCAGCCTTGCCAATGGAATCAAAAATTTCAGCAGCCTGCCTCCTGGCAGTGGAAGCCCTTTCAGGATTTAAACCATGCAACTGGTCAGCATCTGCCCTAAGTCCAAAAGCCTTGGCTAGTTTTTCCCCAAACGTATCATGTGCTCTTTCAAAGCACATTGTTGCCATCACATAGTTACCCTGATGCAACAGCTGCAGGACACAAACAAATGGGATAAAAGAGTTGTTACATTTGCGCAACTGTTAATTCATTGCAGAATTGAGGAGTCCCAAAACCCATTGAAATGGCTTGAATCATGTATGAAAATGCCTAACAATAGATTAACAAATATATGGATATGAATTAATCAAAATTACAAATAAGAATTGTCTGGCAAGAACAACCCTTCTGAAAACAACAAACAACAATAAACCTTATAGCCACGTGACTTCCACTCTTCTGGACTGCTTGCAACTTGCATTGCTTGTGCAAGTGAATCATCCAGCTTCCTAACTTGAACAAGGCACTTCTTCTTCCAGTACTCGAACACTGGCTTGGAAAACTCTTCTACATTTTCACAAATCCACAGTCTTTGCCTTGTGCGGGTGATAGCAACATATAACTGCTTCAATTCAGAACACAAAATGTTGTGTTTTGACTGTTTGAAACTTGGAAATGAGCAATTCGCATCAAGCAAGCCTTGCTCCTTCATGTATTCATATACAACTCTCCACTGATTCTTTAAAGGTGAGGACCCAAAAAAGTTGTACAATAATACATCCTACAGAGACGTAATGTAAAAAAATTAATGGCGACATGGATGAACCAATTTACTTTTTTGAAAACAAACATTAGGGATGCAGAGAAAAGGCACTATTAAGATAGACGGATGTGGGCCAGATCAATTATTAAGCTCTACCTCACTAGCGGTAATCCTAATGTGTTTATAAAAGCCAAGCCAGCCAACCTGTTTTTAGGTTCTGAACTTGTAGAGAAAATAAGATTTAACTAAACAACAGAAAACTATCAATGAGCATTTATTAATAATTTCAGGGATAAAAACAAGCAGATCGTATGATAGAAGAAACAAGAATAATTATAAAATACCAGATACCTGAAACTCTAAACCTTTGCATTCCACTATAGTCAGAACAAGAGCTTGCTTGCCAACATACTTCAACATTTCATTCTTAGCAAGATCATCTCGTACTAATATGACCTGCTCTGCTCCAAATCCAGCCATATGTCCCCCGACATTACCATTGTTCCTGAATATTGTTGCAACTGCATTGTCTTTATCCTCAGATTCAAGCCAAATCGGGGCTTCTCCATATATGAGACTAGTTTCAGGGCATAAAATATCCACAAATGAAGGAAAGAAACGGTAAAGAAGGTCAATGACACTCTGCGCTAACCTTAGGACACCATCATGTGTACGAAAGTTCTGGCTCAGGTGAAAACTTTTAGATATTTGACCTTTCTCCTTTTTCCCATCATTTGTTTTACATTTTGATTCCAAAACAAACTCATTGTAGAAAATGGATCGTATATCTTCAAACCTAAAATCAATACCCCTGGCAATAGTTTGTGCTGTATCCCCACAGAAAACAAAGCCTTCACTTACATTTTTGCAAACATGTTTGAAAAGAGCAATCTGCCTCATTGTAAGATCTTGCACCTCATCGATATAAACAAAATCCATTATATCACCTTCATACCTTTCATTTTGAAGTCGATAGTGAAGATCAATCACAACATCAGCCATATCAAACTCGCCATTTTCTCCTTTCATTTTTTCATAATCTTGAAAAATATCATATATCATCTGTCTCTCAAGTCTAGTTAAGGTCGACGCCCGACCCTCAGATAATTTGATATAATCCTCCTCCTTGAGTCTCCCGTCACAAGAATCCCCTGATCTCACTCCACCTTTTATATGAGACATTATCTCCGTGAAGACTCTGGATGAGTCTAGCTTTTTTGTCAGCTTATCATTAAAATGGGGCCAATAAGTTGAACAAAACTTTTCATAATTTACCTCCCTTGTTCTTATAAAATTTCGCAAGGAAACCGATGCCTTTCCAACTTCCCAATTTGATAACTCCCTAGCATCATAAAATTTCTCAAAGAACGAGTTACCAACTGTTCCATCAAGCATAATCAGAAACTTTTGTAAAGTTATAGCGAGAGGGTATGCTTTAGGAAGAATATCAACAAATGAATCGGGAACATCCTTGAATTGTGCTGCACCATCAATATCATCCTCATCTTGCAAGGCACTCCCTTCAGAATAGTTTCCTCCACTGGCAAACCTGTAAAACGAGGCTTGTGACACCGGGAAAAAAGAAATCCAGGCAGCTAAATAAAGTACTTTGGAGTGCTTATTACATGACAAGTTGATCGAATTAATTTACATGAGAAGTAAGAACCAAAATAACCAACTGTGAATTATCAACAAAATTGCAGCTTATTTGTAAATAATAAAAATAGTGAAACTTGCAACAATCTAACAACCACCCAAGATCAATGACATAAAGAAACCTTTGCACTTTCTTGTGTTTAAGCAGAAACCTTTATACAAAAGACTATCATAGCCATGAAAACTAAGTAGTCAGGAAAACACTTTGCAGACTTATATAAGTAGAGGTCTTTATACAGTAGCATTCTCTAGTTCTTGCACCAAAACTTGAAAAACAAGTCCATAAAAAAATTGCATACATTAGGTGTTTAAAACAAAATGCAGAAAAGAGTCACCAGAAATTTTAGATGCAAAACGTCTCAAATATTTTATTCTTTCAAACTTCTAAAAGATTGAATATGCAAGATTATCAGCTTTCCTTGGCAAGACAATGAAGTTCAAATTTTCCACTCTAGTGTCTATATATGAATTTTTTATCACCAATTAGATTTACAGCATTCTCAGAAACATGTTAATTTGTTGATCTACCACAAAAGGAAGCAGTTCCTGAAACATGCCAATTTTATCATTTCATCACAAACTTTACAAGGTAATATATAAAACATTAGAAAATAAATTTTATGAAAAAGGATTAATTGCAGTCAGTCAAACAGGGGCGGTAGGACTTAATGTGCAGACCTCATAGGTCTCAGCCTATCATTTTTCCATTGCAGAATCAGATACCACCCTTCCTATAAAATTAGATTTATGTTTATGCCAACTGTAAACTTAAAGGAATTTGTACTACCATGAAGCTATCATTTTATCTCAGTATGCAACGCACCTTTTCAATTGAAGAACCTGATGTTTCACGGCATAACAAAGTTTAGGACTGACTGTTACAAAAAGCTGGCGCAGTGGAGTTGCTTCAGTCCCTTCAACACCACCCATGATTCTGTTTTCCCGACAGACTTCATTGGAGTTATTTGGGTTGACTTCATAAAATCCTTCAGTTGCTGAATGGTGTAATTGCTCTTTCTTAAACAACTTCATGGTCAGCACAGTAGTCTTCCCAGTGCCTGATCTTCCTAGTATAAAACTGCTTCTTTGGAATAAAATTATGTCAAGTTCCTGGTCTGTCACCTCAAATGGAAGTTCTAGTTCTCTTCCATCTGGATCAGAAAGAAGGTGGTTCACAACACCCGATGATAAAGAGTAGAATTTCATCAACAACAAGCTATCATTCACTTTTGAGTTCTCCAAATAACATCTACCATCCGAAGCACTTCCATTTGAACTGTTCTCTCTTTCATCTTGGCTTACAGTCTTATACCTGACAATTTCAAATGAGGTTGTCCAAGTTTTGGGAATTTCCAAATCCCTAGATACAATAAAAAAGGGTAAAAACAATGTAGGAGTTCTAAAATACTGCATATGAAACTTAACATTCATATTCAAGAAAGGCAAATTTCATATTTACAAGTTAGGAATACCATTATGGTCACATACCCCTCCAGATATTTCTCATTGCAATGCCTGATAAAATCATCAGTATACATTTTGAAGATACCATCAAGGCGCTTAACCAGTCTTTCAAAATCTTCTAATGGCAAAAGATCCCAAGCCTTCAATACTTGAGTGTACCTCTGCTCCTTCACTACATCAATTGAGCAGACAATATAAAGACCTTCAACCTTGAATTGTTTTAAGACCATCGAAGAGCTTTCACAAATTAAATCCACATTTCTCTTCTTAGGTCGCCAGCCGCTGGAAAGTTTTAAGAGAAGGTTTAAAACTGATTTCTGGGTCTGGACAGATTTCAGCTTCCCAAATGACTTCCTAAAGTAATCACTGAAAAGAACCTGGAAATTGAAAAGAAATTAATTTTTACCACTTAGTACAAAAATTCAGATAATCTCCAATGAGTCTCATTAACTAAATATAACAACAAATTAGGTCAACAGTAAGTAAGATAACATGTTGTATAAAATTCAAAATTGATGCCAACAAAAATAACTTGATAGAACAAGCAGAATGATAGCAAATTTAACCACTGTAAGTTACAAACCTTCCACCTAGCGTTTTTGAAGAGAACACTGTCCCGATTAAGCAAGTCATCAAGTTGACCAAAATCTTTCTTGGCATCTAAAATAGCTTTTGCCAGTTCCTTGTCTTCATCAGCGTTAAAGAAACAATGACGCGCCTTTGCATCATGAACTAATGCCTGCCACACAGATTCAAGTTTGGCCAGTGTTCTTCCATCCCCCAAAATCCAGAGGCTGTGCCTAAGAAGGCATTGAAAACCCAGTAATATATTGCAACTTATTACAGAATTGCAAAAACTGAAACGAAAAAAAGTTAATTTAAGGAAATACCTAGCCCTTGTAAGAGCTACATTAGTTCTTTGAGAATTGGATATGAACCCAATTTTTCCTGAACTATTTGATCTCACAGTTGATATTATGATAATATCTTCCTCACCACCCTGGAACCCATCAACTGACTTCACCTTCACGGCAAAGCCATCAGTTTTCTCATACTTCCCAGCAAGTTTCTCCTGAATTGCAACAACCTGATCAGCATAGGGAGATATTATGCCAACACTGAGCTTTTCTCTTGAGCCATCCCATGCTGCATGCAAAAGCAACAAGTAACACAAAAGGAAATCAATCTAATAATACAAGAAGTATGCTTTCTGATTTTAATATGAAAAGAAGAGAAAAGGCCTCGTCAGCCCTCAAACTGAACTATCTCCTTGAAGGCCAAAGCCAGTCTCTAGAAGTCATAAGGCATAAGCCAGTAAATTAAAAATATCCTGATTTAAGTGAAATAATATCTAAAAAAAGCAAACTATAGCATTATAAATTAAGCTCATGATAATTACCTTTGAACAGAGTTCGCACCAGCCTCTGCACCACAGCTACCTCAACCATATTTCTATAGCTATGCCCAATATCATCCTCTTCCTCTCTTCCAGAGACATTTATGAAGGAATAGGTTCCAAACATAGGCCATGGAAGATAATGTTTCTCATATCTCTTATGCTTAACTTCTGCCACATCCAAGATCTGGTTATTATAGAACTTTGCATTTGGAAAGCAACTGATTGACGGATGCATTCGGTACTGAATATTCAGTAGGTGCTTTGAGTGACCCAATGTACTCAACCTTTCGAACAAACTTCTTCCAAAGCCAGCTGTATGAGAAACCTATAAAAAAAAAAGGATAAAAACCAATAAACGGCCAAAAATAAAAGAGGGGGAAAATTGCAAAGGAACATTGGAGAGAAGTGAAAGACAAAAAACTAAGTATAGTTTACATACATTGCTTTTAACTGTAGCAGGTAATTGCCATTCATCACCAATAAGAACGGAGTGTGCTATACCCGGCAGTTGCAAGGGTATGGCTGATTCACATTCTTTCAACTGCGCCGCTTCATCAATTACCAACACATTCAGTGGATTCATTTTAACTTTATAGAGTTTATAAGAACCGGATGCAGTGGAAAAGAGTAAAGATGCTCTTTGAAAGCAGAATTCTATGATGGAATCTTTGTTCCTCGCACTTGGTAGTTTAAGTTCACCAAGAGAAACACGGAGGGCCTTCAAAACAGAAAGACACTTGCCTCTTACTGAGAACAATAAAAGTGATGCACCGGAAAAATTTTGCAGATGCAATTTATCATCTTTTGAATGTAAAAAGAGCTTCTCCACTTCTTCCGAAACCACATCATCAAGAAACAGTGAAGTTTCAAAAGAATCAAGCAGGCTAAAAAGACTTTTAAGGTCTTGGAAATTATTTTCCAGAAAGTAGACTTCGGGGATATGAGTGCATAAAATTGAGACACATCTTCTAAGTGGTAATGCTGTATGGGTAAATCTTTCTCCTGCATATTCAAGAAATGATTTGTGTATCACCTTCTTACAATCAGTTTCACCGCAACAATCTTTCTCTCGGTTTTCATTTTCGCTACCATGTTCCCTCTCTTTGATTGATTCGTTTTCCAAGAAAATAAGGTATTGAGAGACACAACCTTCAAGAAAAGTTATCATTGAAGTAAAACAGTGCCACCAACCCAGCGGCCCAAAGCACTCTGTAAGCATCTTTACACGATAATCCAGAAATATTTCTTCAATCTCAGAATTAACTTTAAGTCTCTCTTTAGAGCCAAATAAGAGGATATCTCCCAATCCCGGGGAACAAAATGGATCATCTGCTACAGAGCGTGTTTCCTTAGCTTCTTTTACCAGCTTCAAGACACGTGCTGCTACTTCTGTAATTGCAATATTTGTTGGGGCACAAGTGAGTGTCCTATACTTCATTCTTAACAGAGTAAACAACAGCAAACTAACAGTTTTAGTTTTCCCAGTTCCAGGTGGGCCCCAAATAAGTTCGACGTGAGACTTGTGGCGGCACTGCATTTTGTTAAGACAAGCCATAACTGCCTTCTTTTGAGATTCATTCAGTTGAGATAGGAAACTTGTCAGAAAAATATCATTCCAGGTTCCACCATTCTCAGAGGAACAGAGACTGCAGCTTTCTTCTACCTGTATACAAAATGAAATTTGAATAAAAATTCATCCCTGCAAATATATATAAGAGTAAAGCAACTATAAATTCGTCAAAATTGCTCCCCAAATTAATAATAAGAATAATAAATTCATGAAAACTGGTTCAGCAGTTACGTTGAACAACATGTAAAACAAATGAAACATATGATTAATGACATTTTGAATCTGAGACATTGCAAAATTCATGTTAGATTAACAGTGTTACACGTATGCAATGTATCAAATAGTTAACATAAAGAACAACTAGTCTTGTAGGATACTTGATAAACATAGCCACCTGCATCATATGCAACAACTTTCGATAAAAAGTGATACCAAATTATCCAGGAAAATGCCAATTTTGAAAAAGCAAATCTCAAACATGTAACGTGATATCCTCACCATAGAACCAGCGCGCAAAAGTTGTTTGATAATCTTTAAGTTGCCCCTCTTGTGCAATGCATTCCATATTCGCTTGTTTGTGGTTATATTCATTAAGAAAACTACGAATAGTGATCTCTGCATGTCATCTTTGGATGCAAGGTCTTCCAGTGCCTTCACTTTGAAGATAGTAGATGAGCTATTATCAACATCGTCATCCTCTGGATCCTCCGAAACCCCTGAAATCTTAGTGACTAATGCAAAAGTCCAGCTTCTACCTACCCGTTGTAAATCAGAAGCAGTTTCAGGTTTAACATCTGCTATAACAAAAACATCTCCAGGCAATGTTTTGTATGGTTCCTTCTCACGATCATTGAACCTGTTTCTCCAGTAATCAACATTCACATTAAACAATAATTTTCCATGTGGCTTTGCCTCCTGAAGATGTGTCACTTCAGCATACGGTGCTCTAGCTATAACTTCCATAGATGAGCGCATTTCTGCTCGTGTCTCGTCCAACAAAGGCAAAACATAAGACTCAAGATATTGTTCCATTGACTGAAATGCATCTGGAATCTTTCCTACCTAGAAATTGAATTAAATTGAAGCAAATCACATGAATCCATAATAGTCAACAGACAATAATAATTGTGAGAGAAGAAAAAGTATAATAGTTTAATCCTTCACAAAACTCAACTGATTCAGACATATACAAGCAAAAGAGCGCATCGACAACCATGTAATAAACCTCTTATATCTTCTTTCATGGCATTTGAAAATAAAAAAACTCAAGCCCTAAGGCCTTAAGGTCAAACTACATAATTAAGGCCAAAAAATGCTAACACACGTAAGACATATATGAGCCAGTTCAAGATTGGTTTTATAAACTGATTTCCCATTGTCAACTTAAACTGAAGGACATTTCAACCTTTTGAAACCAAGCTCAACCATTCAACAAATTTATGATGTTCAACCTTTATTCAGCTCTCTGGTTTAACTAAACAAGCTTAAGCTCAACTCATGGGCTTTTAAAGTTCTAAAGTTTTTATCACATGCACAACAACTACACTAACTTAAGATTCTATTAATAAAAAATTTCAGAGGAGTTTAATTGCAAGAAAATAACAAGTTACGACTGTATTTAAGCTGGATTTTGTTCCTAATTCCATACTCAGTAAAAACTTCACAAGTCTTATTGTGCCATGTTTAACCAAACTTTAGTTATACTCGATCCTCTACCAAAAAAACAATATGCCACTTTTGGCATGCTGTCATAACTATATATGTCTATATTCATAAGGCAAGAAGCACATGAGACATGAATGCAGAAATGGGCTTGGGCTGGAAGAAAAAACCAACGCATACAAGAAACTATTCCTATAACTTCTACAGCTATTTTTTGTTAGAGCATCTCCTTCCAAAACCTATGCAAAACATTTTCAACTTCCATAAAAGCGTAAGATATTCCAAAAGCTGCAAAATAATCTGATAAATAAGATTCTAATAAACGACTTGAAAAAGAAGGAACATCAAATTCAAGGATGATGATAATTGAGGACAAAGCAAACCCATACCCACCTCATCCTTATAAAGATCATCATTGAATATGTCTTCAAGAGACCATGCAAACACAGTGTCAATGAAACCCACATTTCCTTCAGTTAATACACTTTGCGCAATTGAAGTTGAAGCTTTACCTTCCATATTTTCCTATGAATATCTGTAGTAAACATAGAAAGTTAGAAACTCATTTCCAGCTTTCACCCACAAAAGAAATAAAAAAAAAAGTGTAGTAAAGTTTGGAGGGAGGTTTCTTAGCTGCAAAGAAAGAGGAATATCTCAAATATGAAAGCTAATATAGAACTTACTAGGAATCTGTAGTACAAGCACTACTGACATACATTATCAAGCCTTTATCACATTCACACTTTAATTATTAGACTTTAGCGACAGAAAAAAAAAGCCATTTACATTGCCATGCTTTGTTAAAATTTGTTATAATTGTCAAATATTTTTAGTCAAAAATTTTTTATTTGAAAAAGAATACAATTATTTTTATTAAAATTTCATCTAAATTATTCTATCATTTGAGACAAATTTAGATAAATTTCTCACATAAAAATTTTTTAAGAAATTTTTCAAAAGACTCTCATCTTTGAGTAATTTATATTTAATCTTAAAATTTTTATTTTTTTTATTCTATTATTTTAAAATGAAAATAACTATTATATTATTATTATTGAAACTTTCTCTAAATTATTTCGTCATTTGAGATAAATTTTAAAAAATTTCTCACTTAAAAATTTTATAAAAATTTACTATTTAAAATTTTAAAAAATTTCATCATTGGACAATTAATATTTATTCTCAAAAAAATATTTTCATTTTGTTTTATATTTTTTTTTCTAAAATTTAATCATACAAAATACCTCTAAAAATAAACAAATGAATACATAAATAAACTAAAAATAAAAATACCAAAAAACATAAACGGCTTGGCTGAAGTGGCTTGGCGTGACTTGGCTCCAGGCACAAAAGCCGACTTAAAGAGTTAGCTTGGCTCAAGCTGAAGACAGTGACACAGGTCACAAATGGGTTGACGCTATGGGTCAAGTCACCCAAATGAAAAACGCGCAGATCTTGGCACAAGAAAATGCTCAAAACGATGTCATTTTGAGACGGTATAAAATGTTAGTTTTTTGTTTTTTCTTCAGATTTCTCCTTTCCCCCTCTTTATTCTTCCCTTTTCTCTCCTTTTATCCCTAAATCAGATGAACTTCGATTGAATATTCACTGGATTTTGAAAAATATTGCTGGAATCTGGGTTTGTTCATCAAAATCTGGTTAAAAGTTCATCGGTTTCTGAAAAATAGATGTTGAAAATTGAAAACTTCACTGGAAACTAAAAATATCACTTGAAAGTCACCGAAAACTTCAAACTCGCCAAAAAATTTCACTAGATTTTGAAAATTTTCCAAAAAAAAACCCTTATTTTTCCTTAAAAATTCCCCTAAAAATTTTCACACATTTTGGTTGCTTTCATGTGATTTTTTTTCTCTAAACACTGTGTTTTCTGTGTATACTTTTCTTTGATTTTTTTATCACTTATTTGTGTCTTTTCTGTTTTTGATCAACATATATTTATAAGGATCAATCAAAAGAGTTTATGATTAACTTTAAATTCACCTTTGACTGGATTTTCGCATTATCAGAAAACATAATATTTATCCTATTTCAAATTAAAACCACACTAATTCTTCAAACACCAATTCACTTCAAAATTTTACTATTTTTATTTTTTTTTCTTTTTTTTTACTATTATCCTATTATCTTAACACCAAAAAAATTGGAGACAAATCAAATAAAAAATCAAAGATAAAAAACAAATAATAATCAACAAAAAATAAATCCAAAAATAAATAAGTAAATAGATAAATAATAAATAAATAAATAAAATATAAAATAATGAATGACTGGGCTTGGTAATGTAGACTCTTTTGAACCAGGCCCAATTAGTTCGAGCTCAAACCAAATAGTATCTACAACTATCTCTCTTTACACATTTCTTGTATAATAAAAATTGTGCAAAGATATAGACACCCTTTATATCCAAATAATTAGCTCGACAGACTCGATTTTTTTTTCTAAATTAGACAGTTAAACTTGTTGAAAGTAAATGCCCCATAACTTTTGAAAAATAAATAATGCACCTCTAAGCAGAGGCTCATTGACTTTAGAAAAATAAATAAAGCTCCTCTAATCAAAGGCTCAACAACATTGAAAAAATAACTAAGGCTTATCTAATCAAAGGCTCAATGACTTTGAAAAAATAAATAAAGCTCTTCTAATCAAAGATTCAACAACTTTGAAAAAATAAATAAAGAAGTAGACACCTTATTACGTCTTAGTGTGACTTAACAACAATTACAAAATCTTAAAACTTTAAAGATTCACAAGTTAAAGTATTAAAAAATTTATAATCTGACATTTGCAATTGAAACTTAAAGATTTACAGTTTGAGTTCAAAGAATCACAATTTCAAAATTTAAAAGTTCATAATTCAAAGATTCGTGAAAATTTTCAAATTCACAAGGATTTCCTATTCTTAAGCATTTTACTATCAAAATTTCAATTTCACAAGAATTTTTAGGTTCGCAAGAATTTTACAGCTTTGTAAGAATTCACAAAAAATTTGATTATCAAAATTTCAGTTTCACAAAAATTTCATATTCTCAAGAATTTTTAGGTTCGTAAGAATTTTTCAGCTTTGCAAGAATTCACAAAAATTTGATTATCAAAATTTTAGTTTCACAAGAATTTGATTCGTAAAATTTCAGATTCGTAAGATTTTTTAGCTTCGCAAGAATTCAGATTCGTAAAAATCTAGCTTCAATTCACAAGATTTCAAGATTCGCATTTGTGAGATTCACATCCAGAATTTTAATTCAAGGATTCGCATGAAAATTGCAAGACTCACATCCAACATTTAAATATTCAAATTCTGGAGATTCATACCTTTTTTTTTTTTTGAAAAGTTTTAGGGATTCACTTCCCAGATTTCAAAGATTATGATTCAAAAATTTCTCATTTAAAAACTTCAGGATTTTCAAAATTTCAAAACTCCTCATTCGAGTTCAAAGATTCACATTAATAAATCTTAGAGTTTCACATCCAAGTTCAAAGGTTCTCATTCAAAAATTTAGGGTTCACATCCAAAATTTCAAAGCTTTTCATTCGAGTTCGAAGATTCACATCCAATAAATCTTGGGGTTTTACATCTCAAACATTTTCATTTGAAACTTAAAGATTTTCATATGAAAACTCATAATTTTATCTTAAAAGACTTTATAAAAAAATTTAGAATTTTTTTTCTAGATGACTTTTAGATTTTTATCAAAGTCAAAATTTTGTATGTAATAAATATCATGATTAATGATGCAAATGCAACAATTTGACTTCTTACAATAATGTAGATGCCATACTCTAAGTCATAATTCAAATGTTTGCTGGCTAGTGCATGTTTAAACAAAGTTTTAAATATTCACCAAATTATGTGCATGTATTGTTCAAGCAACGATGCAAACATAATGTATGTAACATAAATGTCATGAAATTCTAATTAATTATGGTAATATGGTTCTCAAGACTCTTCAATCCTATATTTTCCCTTTTTAGCAACTCAGCATTAGCTATCTCAAAATAAATTTTGTCACTGATCCATATCATTTGCATCATTTGATCGTAATTCACAGGTTTTTCAGCACTAGCAATTTTAATATAAATTTCATCTATTGATCTACATTATTTTCATCACTTGATCACAACTCCTAAGTTATGTCAACCAATCCATCATTATATTCTTCCCTTGGTCATCCCATAGGTCTTTTCAAATTCTCTTTTCATTTTTTTTACCCCTTGAATTTCTTTTCAAAGGAATATAGGAATCTTTTATGAATATTATCATTCATTAATTATCATTTTAAATCATAACAAATATAATGCAATCATACATTTTCTCGATTTACTCTGAAGATGCAAAAAATAAGAGAATACAAGGTAAATTAGAAGAAAGGTAATCAATACGAGAACGTGTCTGGTATAAAAATAAATGAGAAAAAAATAAGTTCAAAGTATATCATTAGGGATGGTATTGAATGGTACAACAATGTCCAAACAATGAATGCTTAGATAATCCTTAACAATAATTTAGAATTTTTTTCAAAAACTCATTTCATTATCTTTCGAAATCATTTTGAGCTCATCCAACTTTGCCTCAGCTTCAAAGAATTTTTGAATAATATTGATCTTCCATATATTTAACTGCCCCTTCAATTTTTAGCTTAAATTCTTTTCTACCCAAATTATTCTTTAGGATTTTAATTTAAGTCATTCTTTTCTCTCCTTTTGCATTTTTTTTCTTTCATTTAACATTTTTTTTCATTTTTTTTCATTTTTTCTTTTCCCATTTTTTTCACACACATAACATGATTCTATGGTTCCACCATAAGTATGCCTTAGCCTAACATATGATCACTTAATTTGAGAATTCACATTTGATCAAAATAAATTTTTAAAGGTTATAATATAGGTTATGGGGAGGGATCATAAAAAAATTGGATAAAATAGGCTAAAATATATATTTAAAGGGTTCAAAACCAATGGATCATTTCTTATCATGTGATACATTTTAGCATTTTGCCCCATTTCACATCATTTCTCTACTTTTTTTTTCATTCATCTTATTCCTCACAAAAAAATTCTCATTACTTTGCCCTAACTCATTTGTCGCATTCATTTTTTTTCTCTTTTTTTGTTTTGCTTTGTTTTTTTTTATTTTTTTGTTTTTATTTTATTTTTCTATTATTGAGACCTTTTGAGATTTTTTGCCTTTTTTTTTTTCAAAAATTATCCTTCAGTATAGCAGGTGATTTTTCGTTAGGGTTTTTTTTTAAAAAAAATCATAATAAGCTTAAAAGGGGTATCAATAGATGGTTTTATGAATGGTTAAAGAAAGATGATTATTTTTCATCTCCAACATGAATGCTTTCTTAAAAGATCATCCATTGAACAAAAATAAGCTCATGTATTTTTATAAAAGATTGCATATATTCAAGACATATCTATTTCACATCTACTAGCAGCTAGCTTTTTTTTGCTCAAATATTTTCCTCAAATCAATGTGAATGAGTTCTCAAAATTAAATCTCAGAATTATTATTAGCATTGTCTAAACATTCATCATTGAGAATGAAAATAAAAAAATATCACAAATAACAAAGCATAGAATAGTGGTTGGGATTAAAGAGAAAAT